ATTTGGAAGAGATGGGGTATATTGGGGCACATGGTGTGGCTGCTTTGCATAAATACAAGTACAGTGGCGTGGATCACTCTTACACTGCCAAATATGTCTTGCAACCCTTTTGGAGTAGCTTCGTTAAAATCTTTCCCCTTTGGATGCCGTAAGTTTCTTAATCTTCTTCTCTGATTTTATTGATTACTGAGTGTTATGATTGACTGAAGTTAAGTTTATATACTCTTCTCTTTGGCTTTAATTGGTGGGTAAAGTCATGAGTTTTCTGGTGTTATAAGCGCTCATGTTTTTTTCTCGAATTTAGGTGCATAAGTTTTCTGTTTTAGTAGTTTCTGCTGGGTTTATCTTGGATTTATGTTATTCACTAGTCTACGTTTGATACATTTATTTTAAGAAAACTTCCAAATAGACAAGCAAACATTTGTAGTATGCACGTCGAGTTCGAGATCTTTAGCTGACTTACTTCATGTAAATTTACAAACCCAGCAATATGCAGCTATGATTTTCTTAGAAGATGGAATACTTCTTTTAGCTGATATTGCGGACTTACAAGAATGAAAATTCATAGCATTTTTTTTCTGAGACTAAATAATCTCTCCTTAACTGATTATGATTTTTAACATCACCTGTTTGTGATTTTTGCTGATGTTTGCTAACGTTTTCCTTTTTTCCTTGGTTCTTCCCACGCTTCCGTTTCTGACCTTTTCTTCAGGCCCAACATGGTAGAGTGACCTTTACTCCCAACTATGCTTAATCATTTTTTGAAACTGTTGCCTTTTCATTGATGATTATGCTTTATTTTTTGCCAGATAACTCTAATAGGATTCATGTTCTTGCTCACATCCGCTCTGCTTGGCTATGTGAGTGGTTTTTTCTTATCATCTTTTAATTTTCTGCTGTTAGGTTTTCCTGTTTATAATGCTAATCTTTTAACTCAAGCTTCACATTTAGTTTTAAAAATGTTCACATTTATCTTTTACTCTGGTTATGGTGTGCATGATGCTTAAAATGGGAATGTTATTACTTAGTAAGCTTCCCATGAATTTGTGTTATGTGTTTTTCCCAGATATATTCACCACGACTGGATTCAGCTCCTCCTAGATGGGTTAATTTCGCTCATGGATTGCTACTTTTCTTATACCAGGTTTGCTTAAATACATCCAAGCAGAGTTGCCTTTGATTTTTCTGCGGTGTCCTCTTTATTGTTACACATTGCTATTTTATTTATATCTTCATTGTCTCATTTTCTATCACTTTCCTGTTTGACCTTTTTCACAAAAATCTTAGACCTTTGATGCCGTTGATGGGAAACAAGCAAGACGGACAAATTCCTCAAGTCCACTGGGGGAACTTTTTGACCATGGTAATGCACTGCTATCATGTTTTTTCTTTCTTCTATTGCCTTTGTACATTCACAATTGAATATTGATGATTTATATTCTGGCGGATCTCAATGAATTGCAGGTTGTGATGCCCTTGCCTGTGCGGTATGTGTCTTCGTCTTTTCTGGTCATTTGGTACCCTGGAATTCAAGTTTCTTTTTCATGTATTATATGTGTTTGTTTAGTTCGAAGCATTGGCCTTTGGAAGTACTGCGATGTGTGGAAGATCTACTTTCTGGTTCTGGGTGATTTCAGCTGTTCCATTTTACTTTGCTACTTGGGAGTCGTAAGTTGTCCAACTGAGTTTGATTTTGTTATTAGTCATTCGGGAATGTACCACCTTCTTTTTTTTTCTTTTTCTTGGGGAAAGGAGTGGGGGAGTGGGTTGATTCGATATGCTAGCATATAAGTTTGTTCACTCCATGACCCAGCATAGAATATTTCATATGCAAAAATAGTATGTTCTGATTTATGACTTTGTTGATCCAGTTACTTTACCAATACCCTAATCCTTCCTGCTGTTAATGGGCCCACGGAGGGTCTAATGCTGATATATTTGGCCCATTTTTTCACAGCTATCGTTGGTAAACTCCTAATTTGATTCTGCTACTCTACTTGTATGTACAGCTTGAAGTTAACTTCTAAACCAATATTTTAAAAACTCTTCTTTTCTCCATGTACATTTTTTTCTTTACATTTTCAGGTTCTGAGTGGTGGGCTCTACAATTTGGAAAGTCTTTGCCTTTTCTGAGTTGGGTTCCCGTTCTTAGTGGTAAGGCTGAGCCTAATTTCGTTGATACCATACAAGTGATATTTGGCATCAAACACTACATTTTGCGAGACTTGACTGCATGCTATATTTCCGTATTTAATTTGCAGTACCTATCTATATAGAGCTCAATGTCTCTTTGAGATGTATGCGGTTTGATTTCCTTTTTTATATTTGTTGTGGATGACTATTTCTTTGGCTGCTTCACAACATATACTATTTCCATTGCAGTTGGTCTGAAATTTACTTCTCTTTTTTTACTTCAGAAATCCCAACAAACAAAGCTGTGCTGTACCTAATGGTAGCTTTTGCTGTCATCCCAACGCTCACATTCAAGTACGTAATTTTCTGTTCCCTAATTTTTTGAAATTTGATTCTAACTTTCTCACGTATAATAATTCTTTCTGTTTTTTCTATTATAACTTATTCCTGAGCTCTTAATACATGTATCATGACTTTTTCAACTCAATTGTTCTATATGGAATTCTAGGATTCATATAGCCGATCCCACTTAGTGGGAAAAAGGCTTTGTTGTTGTTGTTGTTGTTATATATGGAACCTGTAAATTGTTAGCCATACTACTCTTGGCATATCTGTGAAGACTCAAGCTACGGAAGCAGGGTTGCATTGCTAACCACACATTGTGGGCATGAACTCAGAACTATTATGTTGCTATCTTCATGATCTTACTAACCTAGAATTCCTTGGGGTATGGGATTGAATTAATATTACTATTTTCTATAGATATAACAGCAATCTGGTGTTAACATTCACACGATATATTTTGTATTTTTTATTTTTTTTGTGAGTGCCTTGGTATAGTTTACCACTTCCCCAAACTATTCATGTGTCAGAGGCTCAGAGCTCGCGTATAAACTTAAGAATTGTCCTTTGAAGGCCATTAGACAGTTGGACCTTATGTTGGATTATGCTTGTGTGCAGTGTGTCCAATGTTCATAAGGTTGTTCAAGCAAGGAAAGCAAGTATGCTATTGGCACTGGCAATGGTATTGCTTTTATCTTTCGGATTTTATGCTAGTTCTAGACACTTGATTGGCCTAATGGGTGTTTCATGTTGTTTCTTCTCAGATTTACCCTTTCGTAGTCCTTTTGGTAGGAGTTTTGGCATGGTATGTCTTTATACTTAGTGTCCACCCCTGTTTTTTTTTCCTTAAAATTATTGCTATTTTTTATTTCTTTTAAAAAATGGTTTCAAAGTAGTAATAATTTATTTGCAGGGGTTACTTGTCACCAGCTGACATTATGGGGAACTATCCACATTTAGTCGTTCTGGGAAGTGGGCTTGCTTTTGGGTACCTTGTGGTAAGATATCCGTGTTTCTTTATAACCATATCTTTTGAAAGTGTGGTTTGTCCATCTCGAATGTAATTGCTTACTATCGATGCTGTGAGTGTGCTAGATTTCCAATGTCGTTCTAAGGGGTCTTGTAGACAACCAAATTGTTTATTCTACCATTGTTGCTGAAAGGAAAGCTCTGTTTTGGCAGGGAAGATTGATTCTTGCGCACTTATGTGATGAGCCAAAGGGTTTGAAAACTGGAATGTGCATGGTATGTAACAATCCCAAAACTGCTGGAAATTTACAGTCTGTTGAGTGTGTATTTCTGGAAACGCTGTAATAGCAGCATCATATTTCTCAGAATTGGTTAATATCAACAACTTCTGCATGGTTTTTTTATAATTCAAAACCAGATTATATTACTAACTTCAATATTTATTATTCTGTGCAGTCATTGTTGTATCTCCCATTTGCCATTGCAAATGCACTCACAGCTAAACTGAACGATGGGTATGTTGTATTTGATATCATGTCGTGAGCTCTCTAATTAAAAACGTGATTCTTCTGTTCTTGATAGTCTAGATGTTTCTGATTTCTTGAACTTCCTGTGTACCTTTTTGCTGCAGAGTTCCTTTGGTTGATGAGAGCTTGGTTCTTCTTGGTTACTGTGCATTTACAGGTATGGTAATTTGTTATGAAGGTCCGCGTATTGGAAATACATGACACACTACCATTTTTATGGATGTAGTATGTACTTACGAATTTCATTACACAGTACCATACCTCGTGGCTGAATTTCACTTTTTTTCTGAATGCAGCGACACTCTATCTTCACTTTGCAACGTCAGTCATTCACGAGATCACAACAGCCTTGGGAATCTATTGCTTTAGGTGAGAATGTGTGTTACATTCAAAATCGAAGCATATTACTCACCAAGTCCAAATAGTTTTTAGACTCATACAGCCTGAAATTTGATTGAGCACAGAATCAGTGTTCTGTGCTCATTCTTTCACCTAGACGACAGTTTGCTTCCGTTCACCAAATTTTGTTCCTTTTCTTTGGAGTGCCATTTGATACCGTACTTTTGATCCTAACTTGCGGTTTCTTGTTGAATCACAGGATAACTAGGAAGGAAGCTTGAGTGATGCTGGTGTCAACTTTAGGGTACCTTTTATTCTCAATCCATGTATTGTTAGGATAAATAGAACATTAGAAATATTTGACATCGCATCCATTTTCTCCTCTCTCGACATCTTTTTCAATTTTTGTTTCAGCCCCTGCGGGCTCAGTCGAGAATGATGCAGCTCGAGCGAGGTTTCTCGTCAGTATAATTTTGTATAAGATGAGGGAAGAGGGTGATTAAAATCTATTTCAATTCGTTCTTGCTGTTGTATAAGATTATGTCTTGTTTCTTTCCGAATAGAGTTACCGATTTAGGCATATTTTCTCGTCGCTTTGATGCATCATTTGAAATTTATGTAAGTACCAAGTTTGAGCAACCGATGGTGAACACACCTCCATCTATTCGACGATATCAAGGGGAAAAAAAGTAGCAAAATGTGAGCTGTGGATATCGACATTTGCCTGTTTTCGATCCAAAATGTAGTTTTATGTATACATGACAGGAATGTAATCAAACAATGACGACAAATGTGACGATACATAACGTATGGGAAGTCAAATTATATAGCCTTCTCCAGCCATCTTGGCAATCGTAATGATGCTTTCATCCCGAGCCTCGTAAGGAACACCGAATACAATAGGTGGAGCAAGAACATGAAGGATCCGCTATTAATCAATACCTGTTACAAATATAAAGCCTTAATACTTCAGTTTCTTAAGAGAGTGCGTGTGTGAGAGGCAGAGCGAGAGAGAGATACCAGAGTGCCAAATAAGGCATAAATCGCTTCCATTGACGGGACTGAATAGATGCCCGATGCAGTAAATATGAATGTTAGAGAAGCATGAATGTTTATAGTGATCTGCAAGCAAACCAAATCACAAACAAAAAACATATCAAATCTCGGTACTACATAAAACGAATTTCAAACAAAGGATAGTTAATTACCAAAGCAAGTATGTTTTCACTTATCAAGAATGACGATATCAAGACATACCCTACAGCACCCAGTGATCGAACCTGCACATATAATAAAACTGTTACCATCAACTAAAGCGTTTTAACTGGTTAAGAGACAACCACTGCTTCGAACAGATTCAATGAACTTTGGGGGATAAGGGAGAAAACATTACAATTGTGCACAAGAAAATTGAAAGACTCCAGTTTGCTCCTGACCTGAGAAGTTGAAACATAACAGTTAAAACTGAAGTGGACTCACCATAAAACTGTGATGTCAAAAAAGTAATCCGTAGCCACTGCGTAAATTAATTTGAATCACTTCATACCTCCATAAACTTCCCATTGTAAAACCAACTAAACCGTGCTTAAGCTGCACAAGATAATTAATCAGCATGTTAAGTGCAAATCATACGGTTCTTACCAAAATTTTTAAGAAAAAAAGTTCAAAGTAAAAAAGCGACAGTGGCTGGAACAACAATGAACTAGCCAGTCCATCTTGGTCAATTGGTATGGATCACTAGTCTGGAAAGGTTCGAGAACTATGAAATTATCTCAGCTATTCTATGAGAGGAGAGATTCCCAAGTATTAAGAAGCAACTTTTTGAACACGAAGAATCAGAAAATTGTTATGCATACTAATTCACAATAATGAGAACAACAACAGGACAGATAACCCGCTCACCAAATAGGTTAAGGCTTTCACCGGACCAGACAAGACTAGCAATAGCATAGTTGTTGCAACCTAGCAAGGTCAGAAAACAATTGCAATTACGTAATGCAAACGCCACATCAATCTCTTAAGTTCAAACATGGCGGGTCATGGATGGTCACAAACCATAGTTTTTCTTCCAGTAGCGATGCCCCACCTCATTGAGGTGATCACTACCGGCAGCGAGAAGAAGCAGCCAAAGTAATCCTGCACGAAAACCAAACCTTTTTAAGATAACCTATACTAGAATGCATAACCTCTCGTTACCCCTATGCCTCTTAGGCTCTTATCATTACGTCTTCCACCACTAGAAGGCGTTTTCCGAAAACATCACAGATAATCACAGCGAAGTTCTTGCATAACCCGACACGAGTACACTAGTTATACACATCAAATTCATACCAAAAACAAAAGATATTGAAAAATTAACTTATGAGGATTTAGACGTTAGAACCAAATAGCTATCATACTGTTCAAAACTTGATTTTGTATGTCTCTGCAACCAATCAAAGATTGAAACAATGTAGCCTAATACCAACTGAAGAACTACAAATACGAAAAGGCTGCTACTTTATAACGCAAGAACAGTAACAAAAACACCATCGATTACAAAATCGACAAAATTAAAACTGTTAATTTGGGGTTTTCTCTAAATTATCAGAGACCCAAATTTCAATCCAACCCAACGAACCTCAATTGCGAGAGAATTGCTGAGGAAGTACACCAGGCCAGTGAGAGCAGCAAACATGGAGCACTCCACCAACGCTAACGTCTTCTTATAAACGACGCCGTCCGGCGACAAGTCTTCGAGCTCGGTCGAAATTTCAGTGCTTTCTTCCTCATTTCTACAAAGAGACGACGTTTGGATTCCTGCTGCCCTGAGAAATTTGCAGGGGGGGTTGGACAGCAAAATTGGGGAAGACGAAAAGGGGTTCGGCTTGGGGGAAAATTTGACAGTTTGAGAGGTGGGAGAGAGAGAGTGGAGAGGGGTAGTTTGGGAAATGAGGAAAGGTGGGGGGAGGTGGTGGACTTGCAGAGGAATCATGGAGATGGAGGTCACAGAGTGAGGGAAATTTGAGAGCGGGAGAGAAGCTTTAGATTGGGCTTAATGGGCCTTCAAAATTTTGGGCTGGTTTAGTCCTGTTTGGTTGTGAATTGTTATATTTATTTTAAGGGTCCTATGTGCGTGGTGCACCCCATAATTTGATCAATGCACTCATTACCTTATTGCACTGACTTAATAATTTAGAAAATCTTGTATCTAAAAAATAATTTAAAGAAATCAAACAGATTAAATAATAGAAGGAGCAATATAATTTTTTGGACATTATATCTCAATCATGGATTCTTGATGAATTAGATAGTGTAGTTTTACACTAACACTTCTATTCACACTAGATGAAAATTGTTTTCAAACAAAACATTAAAAACAAAAATTGTTCAAATTGAATGTTAAAAAATTATTAAATCTTTGCTTTGTTGGATGTTGGGGGTCACAGGAAAGGATATAATTAATAACGAGGATTTTCGAGGTAAGTTGGAGCGGTTGTGAATGAAGATAAAATGAGAGAGAATTGGTTAAGGTATTTGGATATGTGAACTGAAGACCTACAAATGAACCGATTAGAAGATACGACTATGAAACGAAGCTTATGGACAGAAAAGGTAAACGAAGATATAGGAAGACTTGAAAATAGACTTTAAGAAAAGGTAGGAGTACTTGGAACTAACGGAAGATTTGACGTAAAATTGAGCGTAGTGACCTTCTAGAATTTATACAACCGACACCAATTATTAAGATAAGACTTGATTATTGTTGTTATTGTAAACTCTTTTTCCTTTTGAAAAATGAAAAATTTACAAAAAGAAAATTCGGGTACAACGTTCAAGCTAAGCATTGAATGATTAGGAAAAGCTTAGGCAAAAGCACATGGGAAAGAAAGTGCATGTCAGACAAGAAGCATGTTTATATAAAATCTGCAGGTAAAATTTGTACCTAATCATAGGCGTATTCAAAACAAAAGCAATCTTATGATCCCAAAACATTTAAAAACATCATTAATTTGCAGCACAACAAAATAATTATTCGAGGCAGCAGAGCAATGGAAAACATCATGATTACCACAATTCCAACATTCTCTTGTTTTTTGTTAAATTAAATTAAACAAAACATTCTTTTGGTATATAATTGTTTGTGTCCCAATCCTTACAAGGGGATCTGCATGCCTTGGGCGTGCGACCTTTGCTATTATTTCCACCTCCAATTTTCTTTCTGCTATTGGAGGAGAAATAACATTGGAACGGAACGTGACAGTATTTTAAATCACTTATGTGATATATATGGTTGAAATTTATTATGTGTCGTCATATGTTTTATTTTACTAATATAACATCGTGTGATTGTTTTAAAATATCGCTCATTTCTTGTAACAGAAAGTTTAGGTGGAGGAGAGGCTACCCCATCCCGAGGCTGGGACATAACACAAGCCTTTTTTGGGACTTAGATAGGGAGTCTCAGCCCTTTTTTTTGTTTTTACAGATCGCCATCTAAAAGAGATTGTCAATAAAGAGATTCGAACCTAGACTTTGGTCTACCGAAGAGAATGATTCTTACTAACTCAATCATCCTTCGTTTGTTAACATTGCTCTATTTTTTAATATTCTAGTTGCATGTAAAATTTTCTCCGACTCAAGTGTAGGATTAAGTTCAACAAAAGTAAGACACGCAATTTGACTTAATGAAGTTGTTTGCTCCGTCTTCCATTTGTTGTTTTCCTTCTGTTTTCTTGTGTGCTTCAAATTTAGGTAGGACTAAAAGGGATTTGTACCTAACTCATATTCCAATTCCATGTCAAATCATTTTCTAACAGTTAATCAGATGGAGATTGAAGCTTAACCAACTTTATTGGACTTCTCCATAATTAGATTCAAATTCCAGGTTTGAAATGCAACATAAATTACAAAAAATTTCGTGCTTGTGATAATACGTCATGCAAGAGGCACTAATTAAGTGAAAATAAGCTCCTCTATTTATGTTTTTTTTAAGAAACTTAAGCGTCGCTAGACTAAATTATCATAATTATTATTTGTAAGATAAAATTTTGAGTAAAGTTCTAGGCCATGTTATCCGTAGATCAAATCTTACAAAAGTATAATACTTATATTTACTAGGTTTAGAGCTTATACTAAAAGTTTATCACCACATAAACACAAACAGACGATGAAGATTGATCCAAGGAGGAACACGACAAATTGTGATCACATACGTTGATGCCACATGTAAAAGGTTGTGATGATGAAATAGTATGAATGTGAGTTTACACACAAAAAAGGGTCCCGCGATTATGTTTATGAGTTGTGAAGAGACGTGAATGTGAATCTCAACTACTCTAACCCTCCACGGCACGTCAAACCCCATTTAATTTGCTTTTGTTTTTCATTGTTTGTTTGATGCATACCCAAACCGGAATCACGAAAAACAACTTGTATAAAAACAAATTTACTGTCGTATAATATTTCGGTTTAGTAAACAAGATGTCAAAATGACGATAAATTGGTTTCACAGAGTTCATCTTATAACACTCGGGTGCGAATCCATCTTGAGGTAAAGTTGGTCAGCTGACCCACACAAGCTGAAAAATCTTACATGAAAAGGTGGGTGTTGCCCTTTGAACCTTGAAAGTTATCTTCCAACTGCTTTACGAATTGCCTCTATGAGCTTGGAGAGAGCATTGCTAGTCTCATTCTTTTGTGTGTGTTGCTATGTGCATTTGTCGATATACTCACTCGGCATATATTGATATTTGTTGGCTTGTTTGCTTAAAAACTATTGACATTAATCGACGTACCCATTCTAAAGCTGTTGGCATCTATCGACAAGCGTGCAATATAACTTGACAAATAACTTCAGCTTTTCAAAGCTCGATGAAAAATTTGGTGCCACTTTCTTACTAACGCCCAATAATATTTCCTGATTCCGCCGCCCATTACACTCAAACGTGACAGATGCAACCATTGTAGTCGGCATTCAACGTATAGCTTTGCGACTTTGAAGCCTAACCAGGTTTTAGAGCGTAGCATGCTTCGCATCAGCATGGATGCTAATGCAGCCTAACGTATCATTGTTGTTTATTTTTGTAGTAAAGGGTGTCAACGACGTAGGTAGAGTTGTCGGTGGTACACGTGGGCAACATCCACAAGAAAAAGACATGGGAGGAGATTGTGTCTCGATGAATGATTGTAGAATGTCAAAAGCATGCGGACAAATGAGTATGCGTGCTTCACTCATGTTCCACTCTCACTTCTCTTATGGCATTACCATCAATTTAATTAGTATGGTACTATGATTTATAAAATTGAGTAATATTACGACCGGTCGTTAATTAGTGTTATGTCAACATTCAATAGATAAGATTGATTCACTCGCAAGAATATTATCTTAATATAATTTATAATAGAGTTTCTAGTTGCACTCGCATATGAATAATTTTTTACTGTTGAATGCATGTGAAATCCACAATACATCAAACACAAATAAACGACCTAAACGTGAGGTAGGTACGTGACACAATCCTCTAGTATAATTTACCAGTTAGTTGAAAAACAAGTAAATCTTGCACCAATAAAGGAGAGGGGGGTATGAAAACCTTGAGGTAAAAAAAGAAGTTGACGAAACGGATTGAAAGCTTGATGGATCTATAGACCTTCTGATCTATAGACTTTACTTGCAATAAGAAGCATGGCTATATATCTATAATTCTATATGTCGAGTGGGGAACTGTGGCTTTGGTGGGTCTGGTAAAGCACTGAACTGATGGTATAAACAGAATTGAGATCCTTTTCGGATTTTGCACTCTGGAACTCACGAATCGAATAATTCAGATCTTTCAATTCAAATCTTGTGCTTCCTCTTATAGCTGGTTCCATTGGCTCATGATCTCTCTCCAATGCCCAAATATTTCTCTTTTGAACAGTTTGTATTGCTCAAATCGTAAGTCTATAGAGGGTGAGATCCGGAGAAAATCTTATTCCGTATTGGCAAATGCACGCAGTAACAGTAGAAATTTATGAAAAAGTAACTTCACTGATTTTACTCGAGTTTGCTGTAACATTCACTTCCCTACACAATAATGCCTGCAGGGGGGCTTTAGTGCTTTTCTTGCATCACTCCTTTTTCTTCCCTCCCACTGTTTTTCTGGAAAGCAAAACGTAAAGTTGACGCCTCCTACTCCCTCCCATCTATCAATTCAATCCAATTCAATTTCCCATTCAATCACTCCAAAAATCTCACAGCCATTCTTGGTTTACTTGAATTTCCCAAAAACCCCTCCTCACCATTCTTTCAAATTCAAGTCCCGCATAACTTTTTGGAGCTGGCATTCGATCTTTCTTCAAAATCCCATCAAAATTTTATATTTTTCTCACATACCCTTTTTCTTTTGAAGCTTTATCTTCTCAGAGATCGAAGCTTTATTATTGTTCTTTGAAGTGGTGGAGAAGCCATGAAAGAGAGAGGCAAAGCTGTGGAAACAGCTCACGACAATATCGACATGGAGTACTACTCTTCGTCCGAAATGCCGTGTCGAAGACACCCAAATTCGTCTTCCGTCGGGATATGCGCATTCTGTCTAAAAGATCGTTTACTCCAGCTGGTCTGCTCCGACTGCGGCGAGCAGCGCCTCTCTTCCTGCTCCTGCTCCGCCGTCTCGTCAAACCGCAACTCCACCGTGGAGGTCGGCAGCGTCGGCAGAGTCTCGTTTCTGATCGAGAACGAAAAGCACGAGTCTTTACAAAAACCCAACAAAACCCAAGAGAAAGAAGACGTCGTGGTGCTCCGGAGAAGCAGCAGCAGCTGCGTAGAGATCAAGAAAAGTAATTTTTGGAGATTTGGGAGGTTTTTTCGGAAGAAGAGATCGGAAAAAGATGGTGGGAATACGAGTGTTGGTGGGTTTGATGAGAAAAGTGAGATGTGGCTGGTGGATCATATGGGGGTGTCGAGATCAAGGTCTCTCTGCAGTTTCAGAGGTGGGGCACTCTTAGGATCGGAGGACGGCGGAGAACATTTGATGGTTTCCGCCGCCAGGAGCTCCATTTCTGCTGCCAGAAGCTCCAGCGTTACTACTGCCGGAATGGTTCTGGATTCTGGAAGAAAGAGTGGATTTAGTGAGGGGAGAAAGAGTGGATTCAGTGAGGGGAGAAAGAGTGGATTCAGTGAGGGAAGAAAGAGTGGATTCAGTGAAGGGAGAAGGAGCGGATTTAGTGAAGCGGAGCCGAGAAAAAGCGGTTTCGATGGTGAAAAGAAAGATGAAGTTGTAGGGTTTACCGGGGCAACGAAACGCGTTTTTTCGCTGAAGGAGAGTGATTTCGGCATGGATGAATCGGGGTTTATCGATTTGAAGCTCGATTACGCGGCGGATTCGAAGCCAGAGTTTTCTGGCATGAGGATGAGGAGCATTGCAGATGGAGAGACTGTTTTTGGGAGCATGAGAAGGAGTGAGTTTGTGGGAGGTGAATGTGATGTGGGATCATTTGGTATTTTCAGACATGGTGGTTCTTGTAGATTGACAGTGGATGAGAGGGGGATAAAGAGGGGGAGGAAAAGTTTGAAGGGATGGAGGTGGATTTTCAGGCATCATCCAAGCTGGGGAAGTAGTAGGAAGAAAGATGAAGATTTAATGTTCAAAACTTAACCGTGTTTTTTCTGTGCTTTACAAAAATAATGTTTGTTATTTTCTTTTTCTTGAAGCCCTCCATTTGTAGTTAGTCACTAGTTACACATTTACTGCCAAGATTTTCCTCTTTGTATTTATGTTGATGTTGGTGAATGTTAAAACTTAAAAGGATGTAGCTCATACTAAATGAGACGTTGCAGAAGCTGGTTAGTTCAGTCGTCAAGACAGGTAGTCCGTCTCATTCTCATTCGGTGCATACCGTCTTGTCAAAAGATAAACTAGGTTTGCAGAACATAAAAACGAAGGAAGAAAGCAATGGTCTTGTAAATTATCAGCATACATTGCTGCTTTACTGATTAAATGGTATTAATTACATCGGATCAGAGTGTTTTGAAATATTTATGTGTAGACCAAGTAGGTTTCAGAAATGCATATATTTGCCCGGATCTTATAAAGTTATAACCTTTGGAATTTCAGGGACACCAAAAAGAGCATGTCCCCTTTTCTTTTTCTCCATTTATCAATAAAGGATGGTTGGCCCAAGATAAAATGTATAGCCAGAGAAAGTGTTGGAAGCAGCCAGGACTTGCCATAATCAGAGAGGGACTAGTCACTAGTCCTCATACCAAGTTGAATGTTGGGTCACACTAGCATAAGATCCATTGTTTTGCTTTGAGCAACAACGGAGTCTTGTAGTTGAAGAATTTGGGTTGGGCTGTTTGACCACCTAGCTAGTCGACACTCTTACAAAACAATGGCTCTCAAGGGTTTTAGCACTTAAGCGTCTAGAAAAAGCGTAGGCGGGCTTATATTTTTTTTAATTATTAAATTTTTTATATAACATATAAATAAATATCTACTCATGTTTAAAAAAAAAAATACATAATCGTATTAGGATACATAAATTGCAAAATATAATACAAAATAAAAGTCATAAATTTTTTATCTAAGTGAGAGTTGTGAGTTAGGCGGAAGCCTAGGTAGGTCTATGCGTTATTTTTTAATTTTCAAATGCTTAGGAATCAATTGGGGCCGTGGTGAGCCGCCTAGCGCCTAAGGCCTAGGTAGGAATTTTTAGACATTCATGCAATTTTTAATGAATACATATTAGCTGGATGGTTGAATTGCCTATTGAGAACTAGTCCAACACACCCCACAAAAGAATGACCTTAGGATGCGTTTGTTTGGCTTCATTAGCCTTCACTGGACTACTCATTAGTGCAGTCTTGTGTTTATTATATAGTGGGACTATTTAATGGGATTAAAGGGGACTCGCGTTCACTAACTCTCTCACTAAAGGGTCTTAGCGAGACCCCCCAAATACCATGGGACTGCTAAGACCCTCGTTGTGTTCTTCTTCTTTGCGTCGCGTCCTTCTCTGCTTTCTTCTTCGTGTCGCGTCCTACACTCACCAAACTATGGCAAGATCACACCGCAGGTCCAAACCACCACCAATCCCTATCTCTCTCTCTCTCCTCACCCTAAGCCCAGAATCAAGAATGAAACCTTAGATTCGACCTTTAATCAGAGAACCCACGAGCTCCATTTCCAATTCGAGAGAACTCCATCGATTTAAGGTTTTCAGATCAAATTTATGGTCCTGCATATACAAGCCAGCTTGAATGATTTAATTTTGATGGGATTTAGTTTTCCTTACGAAGGATTATAACTATGGAGGGTTTGCAGAAGATGATTGGGTTATGGGTTCGGTGCTTTGCTTTCTTCCTCTCTTTTTTTTTTTTACTTTATTTGTTCTGTTCTTTAAAGTTTCGGAACATTTGATGGATTTTGTGAATTCGTTGCTTTTGGTTTGTGAAGGGAGGCTGGATTTGTGAGTTTTTTTGGATACCATTCGTTCTGATCAAATTGAACGATTTCTGGATTCTACGAATGGACTGGTTAATCAAAATTTGAATGATTTTAGTTAGTTCTGATTTTTATAGGATACCAAATTGAACAATTTCTGATTTATCTCGAATTTGGGTTAAGCATTTGTTATTGGAAGTTTTGCAATTTCCAAGGTGCAGAGGAGCACCAACAATTTGCGAAGAAGATGCCATTTTTTACATATTGATATTTTTAATAGAAAAGAAATTAAAATATAATAAGAATAATTTATTGTTAATTCAACTTCTTTGTCTAGTCTAAACCAGTCAAACTTAGTCCCTAAAGCTAGTCTAGTTCAAGATTGTCCGGTGCAACAAATGCACCACTGTATTAGGGTACTGTTCAACCCTATGCAAATACAGTTTTTAATGCACACGAATCAACTGGATGATCCAATTATCCTACTAAAGAATTTATCGTCCTGTAAACGTTGAACTTTTATTGTTTAATCTCTTCTAAGAAAATTCTTGAGTCCAACTTCCGGACCACATAACTCGTCGAATACTCGACCTCACACGTCTACTACCATATGAGGGATGCCGCAAGCAAAAAGCCTTCCTCACAAAAGAACATGCTCAATTTCCTCACCGGATCATTTTTCTAGGATTTAATGATTGTGATTGTGATCGTCCATCGTACATCATGTGGTCAATTTTCGTTATGTACTATTTATATTTCATTTTAAAATTTAAATTTTAAAATAATTTCTAATCACACGATATACAATGAACAATTATGATCACATGATCTCTATGATCCTTAGAAAAAAATCAGATAAGGATCATTTTCCCCCAATTCCAACCCACAACAACACCCTTGGCTGCAAGCGTTACACGCCTCATCTTATCAAGAAGGGAGATTTTCTCACCCAATAATAATAATAATTGACAACATTCAACGGATATATAAAATATTCAAATAATAATCAAACAAACAATTGACCAAGTCCAATTCTAGAAGTCGTTTACCCTCCAAGAAAGCACAAGAAACCATTTCCCTTTTTTCTCAAAAACAAAGAGAAAAATCAGAGTGAAAAAATTTCTGGAAAATGTATGTGACAAGGCGTCTATCGATGTACAAAAGGTCTCCTGATGATCTCTCACTGCCTCCGCCGGAGGGTCCAAACTCCGGCATTCTTGTCATCAAAGACGAAGAAACGACATGCTGTTTCGGGTTGTCGAATATCGATATGATTAAAGAGCTGCCTCTCCCCCAGAACAAGAGCCTTGAGCTTTACTATGCCGTTGGGTTTTATCCCAACAGAGAGCTTCAGTTCCACAGTGTTTTCTTCATCCCAGTTCTTGGTCAGCCCCTGTCTTCCAACCGCTACTATGCAGTATATCCATTTGGGAAGGATAGAGGGTAAGTTTTTTTTATTCGAGCGATATTCTAATTAATGTAATTTAAATTAAAATTACTGTAAGATGAATTCGAACACGAGTGTAGAAGGATAGTAGAGGATATATCATAACATTTCGTTTTTAAAACGACACATTCTACGTCGCATTTGGTCGACACACTGCCTTTGCTAATTGACTTAATGAGGGAGAGTGATAACTTGTAGCATGATTTTGTTTTGTAGGGAAGGGTACACAAGCGCAAACGAGTATTCCATGGACATGGAAACATGCTGCTTCGACAGCTGCACCAAGGACGTACTACCGCAACGTTTTGATCCCAATAACATGTATCAGCAATACAAGATTAATCTTCACAAAAAAGTTATCAATATTTCAGGTGGTTTTGTGGCCAGATCAATGGCTAAAGATGGGTTCCCTCCACAGGCATTGTGGAGGAGAGGGTGGAAACTCAGAAGCTCAACATCGCCCGGATTTGAACTAGGTGATGCACCGGGCCTAGACACCGCCCTACGTGCCCGTCTCCCGGATTTTAATTTCCCACTAAAGAATGTGGTTGTAGGGAAATGGTACTGTCCATTCATGTTTGTTAACGAAGGGACACCGAAAACGTTGATAGACATAAGGAACAGATCAATGTTCTATGAGATGACACTTGAGCAGAGGTGGGAAGAAGTATTTGTGAAGGATCATAGTTTTCAATGCGGTGAAGGCAATGCTGCGCGTGTGGATTTTGTTGTGCAAAGTGAAGTGGTTATGGTTGGAGGGATGGAAGGCAGGTGTGATGGGAAAAAGGTGGGGGATGATGATGGGTTGGTGTTGTATAGGAGTTCGAACAATGTTGGGCAAGAGACAAGGGTGGGGGTGAGTGTAGCAATTTTTGAGAGGATGAAGTGGGAGCAAGGGAGGGTTGGGTGGGTGGGGGGAGAAGAAGGGACAGTGAGAGTTGAGAGGGTAGAGGACTACGGAGGGGTGGGTGAGTGGAAGAAATTAGGATTTTTTGTATTGGTTGAGAGGTTTGCTTTGAAGAGAATGAATGGGGACTTGGTTTTTAGTCATGATTTTAGGCACGCTCATCAGATTAGGACTAAATGGGAATGAAAATTTGTCTTTTTTATTTGTGTGTTCTACATATGCTATTTATGTATAAAATTTCAGATTTTGCATCCCAAATAAATCTTCAGATGGGGTATTTGAAAGTTGTTCTAGCTTATGGATTTAGTAGGCCTTATGAGTTTTGAAGCACTTTTTTGATTTATGAAAGTGTAAATTTACTTGTCGATTACAAACCCAATTCATCTAAGAAATGCATTTGAGGAATGTTCACATAATTCTGATCAATGTTGTTTACAATGTCTCATGTTCACACAAAGCATACATTTACTTATGATCTAATATACGAAAGTAGATAAAAAAAGTAGGCGACAATTGAATCAAGTAGACTATACAAGTCTAAGGCCATAATACTGGAGTTTGTACCTACATGGAGTGAAGTGATACTTAAATATAGAGGATTTCACTTTATAAGTAGATTAGACAGTTCACTTGATTTGATTATCGAAAACAAAAATTTCTCCTAAAAATAAGCCTGATTCTTAGTTCGAAGCCAGATTTGTTACATCATCATATAGTTCAAAATCAAGAATTCATATGGAAATTTCTTATTGACTAAGAATTGTAAGAAAATTCTTGAATTCCTTGCAGTCGTATACGGCGGTGCAAGTGTTACACCAACACGCCTCAGCTTTACCATGACAACCACATATTGTCAAATCTTATCAAGAATGGCGGTTGTCTCACCTAATAATTGACAACATCAACACAAATAAAATATTCAAATAGTAGTCAACATAAGCAACAAACAATTGACCAAGTCAAATTCTACAAGTCAGTTTACCCTCAAAGACAAACTTACAAGAAACCATATCCTTTTTTATTTCTCAAGAACAGAGAGAAAAATCCGAGTGAAATTTTTTCTCATTGCCACCGCCGGAGGGTGCAAATTCCGGCATCATCCCAGATGGAGTGCTAAAACAATAATTTGTTAGTGTAAAGAACTATAATTGAGAACAATGTTTGGCTATTCAAAAATGAGCATGAACTCCTACTCAAAATTCTTTGTGTTTGAATTACAAAGTTTTGTACCTATGATTAGAACTGTTCGTTTTATAAATCACTTTGAAAATACCATCTCTGGAAAAAAAAAAAAAGAGTTAAAACTAAAGTCGTTTAGTCAATCTATTGTAGAAAATACATAGACGATTATAATACTTTTACTAGTTTTGTTTATCTATTTTTAAATAATTCAATGACTAAACGACCTTAGTTTAAATTCATTTTTTACATAGGCAATTATAGTGTGATTTATAATATGTAGATCATATACATAAAGTTTTAAAATAAAAAACAAACAATTTTAAATAGAAACTTCAAAAAAAAAAAAAAAAGTAGAAACTCCTACTTATCTTTTGAGTAGACAAATATCGTTGCTTAAAGCTTAGGGTCATTAAAACTCAAAGTTTTCAAGTCATTTTCTTTAGTTTTTCTTTTAAATTCATTTTTTGCATAGACAATTATAGTATGATTTATAATATGTATATCATATACATAAAGTTTTATAAATAAAAAACAAACAACTTTGAATAGAAATTTAAAAAAAAAAAAAAAAAAGAGTAGAAACTCCTCCTACTTATCTTTTGAGTGGACAAATATCGTTGCTTAAAGGTTCAATGCATCCTTCCAAGAAGGTGCTACAAACGATAGAAGACCCACACACATTGTCCCGAAAGACTTTTTCCAGCTTAGGGTGATTGAGAAGTGTACGAACCTTCCTGGCATTTTACTGCAAATTGTCAATTTCGGACTCTCTGCTTGGATCCATACACTACCAAATCAAAGATAAGATTAAACTATAGTTATCATCGGACCAAAAAAATAAACTATAGTTATCAGAAAAATGATTATAATAATCACTTGCAACTATACAAGAAGGACTTCCGCTACCATGACACATGCCAACAATACAAAGGTGTGTGTAACTTTGTCTCCATAAAGTTCTATTATTGATACATAATGTCACAATAATACTATATACGTGTCATATATGTTGTTTTATGTATAACACTAATTTCTCAAATATTCTCAGCAGCAAACAGTTTTCTGCATTACAATCCCCCTCTTTTTTTTTTTTTTGGAAAACCTCGGTATGAGGTAAATTTATTGATATGAAAAAAGATGTTACACCTAGTCAGGAGGAGACATAAACCTTACCATTCGTAAAACAAGAAAAACAAAATACAAAGAGGAGGAAGACATACCCCTTACCCTTTTGAAAAAGAAAATACATGAAAAAGAGGGGAGGGGGGATATAGACCATACATCTTGAATTACAATCAGCTAAACCATAACTAGGAGCTTACGTGTCTAGGACTCTATAAGTTCTCAGAAGTTTTTGACTTCGTGAATTATATAAATTAAAGGTCTGTAATCATGTAATTTCATCAAAGCAATTTGAGAGTGAGCTAGTCTTTCTTTTCTTAAACAGTTGTCTTTTTAATTTGGTCACAAAAATGTATGTGACAAGGCCTCTGTCTGTGTGTAGAAGATCTCCTCAATCACTGTCTCTACCGCCACCGGAGGGGCCAAATTCTGGTTATCTTGTGCTCCATGATGACGATTCAGTTGAGATAAACTGTTGCGGATGCGAAGATGACAGCGTCAACGGCCTGCCTTTCCCTCAGAACAAGGATCTAAGAGTTGGATATGGCTCAAATGGCGATGATGTTGCATTCATTCCCGTGCTTAATCAGCCCTTGTCTTCCAATCGTTACCATGTCATACTTCGAACAGTTCGCCATAAGGGGTATGCATATAAATTAGATTTTGATCAGTCCTTCATGTAATTAATTTTCACATAACGGTGTTACTGTCACGTACAGTTGTACAGTAAACATTGATACTGAGAATTTAATTTGCAGGGAAGCATGCACAAACACGAGGGAAGAGGACACGTATATTGGCTGTTGCGGATGTAAAAATATTCCAGATGCTAAACCAAAGCCGTTGGATCCGTCAGACATATATCAACAAATTGAGATAGTTCAAAGGGGGAGCGACCGCAGTCAGTTTTTTGCCAAGTCTGTTGATCCAGATGGTTTTCCTCCTTACTTCTTGAGAAGGAAAGGGTGGCGCGTGACAATGAGCAAGCCGCGTCGTTACCGATTAGGTGAAGCCTCGGGACTCAACTCCTCGCTACGAGCAAGCCTTCCCGGGTTTGAGTTTCCATTATCACATGATTGCTCTGAAGTAGTGTGTGTTGGCAAGTGGTATTGTCCTTTCATGCTTGTCAAGGAAGGAGGGGTGAAGTTGAAGGACCAAATGAAATATTCTATGTACTACGAAATTAAACTTGAGCAAAGATGGGAAAAGATTTTCGACACGGTTAATGAGAACGCTGAAAGCAAAAAAAATCCTGCTGTGTTTGTGGATGCTTTTGTTCAAAGGGAGGTGGTCTTTGTGGGTGGAAATGAGGCTGTTTGGGATGAAAGAAATGAGGATCCGGGTGCGGGTGATATGTTCATGTGGTTTAAAAGTTTTGATGGCGCGGGACGAGAAACAAGTGTGGCATTGAGCATGAAAGTCGTAGAGAGAGTGAAATGGGAGCAAGAAAGAGTTGGATGGGTTGGCGGGGATGAAAGGAAAGTGAGGGTGGAGAGAGTGGAAGAGTTTGGGGGGACGGCTGGTGGCGGGTGGAAGAGATTTAGTTGTTATGTGTTGGTAGAGAGGTTTGTACTGAAGAGAATGTCTACGACTGGAAGCGCAGCGGTACTACTCGCATATGATTTCAAGCACACTCACCAGATTAGGAGCAAATGGGAATGACAAAAATTTGTTTGCTCCATGACTGGAAAGAACAACGGGAAGTTTGCTACATATACTGTTCATTATATTTGGTATCGAAAATCCACTTTGTCCTCTTTTATAATGTTTCTGGACAAAATCATGAGCAGTGTGTAAATAAGGAGTGTTCCCATTACAATGTCTTCAATCTCATGTCTTGCGCAAAAGTCAGACTTAATTAGTTCAAGAACAATTAATGGAATTTTATTTGATTTATTCAGCCAAATGACATCTCAAATTCTTTAAGCCAGACAATATTGCTCAAGGACAAATCACTAACTAGATTATACTCATCTGCATGCATGAAAAATGAAAACTATATTGTGTGATAAATAAAAAGAAATTAAAATTTTGTCACATTAATTAGTTCTCAATTTCTTACTGTTTTTAGTTTCGAAATGCCATCAGCTTTCGGAGTTTGACTTCTTGCTTCCTCTTGCCAATCTGCATGGATGGCCAGAAGCAAGACAGTCCAAGCAAGCAAAACATTAGTGGTTTCTTGTCCAGAAAGTACAACGCATTGCAGTCGTCGATTAAATCTTCCACCGAATTCCTCTGCTTGTCATCGGCAGCATGATGAGCCTTCAAAAGTGGTCCAACATAATCACTCCCGAACCTGTCTTCTTCACTCGTCAATGCCTTCTTTGCTGCATGACCGGAAAGAATGGACGGGAAGTTTGCTACATGCACTGATCATCACATTTGGTATCGAAAAATCCACTTTGTCCTGTTTTCGTGTACAGACCATCATCGTTTTAGGTACGTTAGTCTCCACTGGTGAATGGAGACTTGCGTATAGTTTTAATTCATGGATTGCAGTACTCTTCTTTTATAATTTTTCTTGACAAAATCATGAGCAGTGTATAAATAAGGAGTGTTCCCATTATAATGTCTTCAATCTCTGGTCTTGCATACGAAGGAATACATACAATGTATAGATGTACAATGTCTCTTCGTATGGATAGAGACTCATTGAAAACTACAAGGGAATACATACAATAGCTACAACGGCTAGAAAAGGAATACATACAATGGCTCGGTTGAATGGCTAGAATATGAACAATAAATATTATTTAACACAGGGAAAGAACACAACACCTTTGCAGATCAATCTATGGCCTAATCAAGTTGGGCTCGAGCAGTGTGCTCCCCAATCTATACCAAGTTCAAATTTCTCTCTATAGTTTAACTTAGATTATAATATTGCTCAAATCAAAAGAACACGACGACTCATGTGTATATAACAATGTGTTGTTTTTTTTTATTTTAATTTTTTGGAGAACTATAACAATGTGTTGTTTAGCATATCTCCGAGTACTAATATGCAATGTATAAGTACTTCTCTGAAAGCGTTTTTAGCCACTGGGTCTTAATTAGTAACTGTTGTGTTTTTGAACTTTTCATAAAGCAAAATTTCTGTGCATCAGCCATATAGATTTTTATGAAGTTCAAGAATTCTATTACACTTTTTGTGTTTTTAGCTAGCTGATGATCTGATGATCACAAACAGTGCTCAGAAAATTTTTGATACGCAGCACGCATGTACACTTTGATGATCAGCCTTTCAACCATTAATCAGTACACTTTGGACTAATACTGCAGTGATAATTTTGTTTGTGTTTTAATTTAAAACCTAACAATGGGTGTATCGATTGAACTGTTTATAAGCTAGTACATAATCAAAGGCATCAATGTCTGGGTGCTTAAGATACCCCAAATACAAGAATCATGGGAAACTCTGGTCTTCGCCATTCAAAGCGAGTAAAATCACCTGAACTCCATGATGTGGACGAACGGAAATATAATGCAAGGGCTAGTGGACGTAACCGGGGGAAAGGGTGAAGGAGTAGCGTTGTAGAATCATGGACAGAGCAATCTTCGCTTCAGTTGTCGCAAAATTCAAGCCCACATAAGTTCGAGGTCCCAGTCCAAACGGTATGAATGCGCCCACGTTATTGTTAGTTGCTTTCAAAACCCCTTCTGAGAATCTGTCTTGTTTGAAAAGGTGGACATCTTGCCCCCATATTTTTGGATCTTGGTGAGGTGCAATGGTCGAGACAACCAATTCGAGATTAGCAGGAATGATGAGCTTTCCCAGTTTAACTTCCCTTTCAGCTTTCCTTACAGGAGAAACCGGAGGGGTATATAACCTCAGAGACATTGATGATCATCGTCACCTGCATGGAAATGAAAAATAGATAACATAATCAAATTTTCAAACATGTTGTAACAGAAAAAAATACAATACGTGTTCTTGATATTCTTACGGTTCTCATTTTGGAAATGCCATCGTGATTTGGAGTTTGTTTGCCAAATAATTATGACCTCCTTCCTTGCTTCCTCTTGCCAATCCGTATGGAGTGCCAGAAGTAATACAGTCCAAGCAAGCGAAGTATTAGTGGTTTCTTGTCCAGCAAAGTAAAACGTCTTGCACTCATCAATTAACTCATCCACCGAAATCCTATGGTTGTCATTGGCATTGTGACGAGCCTTCAAAAGTAATCCAAGAAAATCACTTCCGAAACTGTCTTTTTCTTCAGGCCTTGCCTTCTTTTCTCTTTTCTTGACTGATTCGATCTCAAGTTTGTCTGATTCGATCTCATCACTGGTTTTGAAGAACTTACTGCATTAAATGAAAAGACTAACCGTGACAAGCGAAGTAATAGTTAACAGATCTTGTGGTGAATATTGAGTAGATCACCGTTGCACAGCAGATGGGCAAACGAAAAAGAATAATAGGGATCACCTGATGCCAGGAACCCTGACCTTGAGAGAATTTTTGAATATTAGGGAGCCTATCTTGATCAACATATCAAAAATGTTCTTTCCTTCAATATAGCTGCTGCCAAATGCTGTTCTAGAAATCACTTCCGAAGTGAACAATCTAAACTCTTCATACACCTCAATCTCTTGTCCTTCAAAATCTTTCCACCTTTCTAGCATTGTCTCGGCACTAGCTATCATTTTTCGGAATCATACTCTGTTAAAACAATACGATCATGCTATTAGTACATTCATCTTCAGTTTATTACACTTTGCAAGAAAGTACAAGTAACCTTGAAGACTTACTTGTAGAGTCTCTCCATGGAAGGTATGGGTGGCTAGTTTCCGCAGTTTCCCCCATTTTCAGCTTCGGTTGTTGCCACAAGGCCATCTCCCAGTAGCTTATTCACAAAGTTTGCGATCTCTCGTTTCGGAAGCTCTATCTTTGTTATTCGGTATCTCTTTGCACAAGTCGGGTTCCGTATGACCAACTGAGCCTGAGAACCATGCCATTGAAGATAATTCTTCCCTGTAATTAGTACGGTCATCAAAATTTATCACGGAATTAAGATTAAAAAACAATAGTAGTCAACTAAAATCACGACCGTTTGCTTGTTACCATATATCTTGATCCACGCGTGCATGTGAGGCTGAACTACAGAAAATGTGTCGTGTGATAAAATATGTGACCTGCCCATGACTTCCTTTCTCATGTCAAAGATTTCTTTGGTGGTTCCATGGATAAGTCGGTAAGGAGGGTCTCGGATCCCCTGCAAAGCCATCATCTTCCGAATGCGAGTCGATTAGATCTGAGACAAGAAATAGACAAAGAAAGCTTGCAAAAATGATTGCTAAGCCTCCGAAAGAACCCATTTTTCGTGTTTCTTTTCTAGCTGGGGTCCGTCGTTCTGAAGTTTTACTGCTCCTTAATTATATTGTAAACACAAATTAACAAGATGCCAGTGATGGTTTTTAGCTAGTGATTGTCACTTACTTATCTTGCTAGTTACTACAATCCAAAGGGAAAATATCATCATCAGTACATTGTCACTGAAAACTTAAGCTGCCATTTGTCGACTTCCGATGGTCGATACGTCACATTGGAATTATCTCCTGGATTTGTCACCAAATACATTACCGTATTATTAATTTTTTTTCCCTCTCTTTCACCAAGTTTTCCATCGTTTTCTATGTTGTCCATCGTTTTATATGATTAGCAGTTTTGGATGAATAAGGTTGTGACAATAAATTGGCTTTTCTTGAATTTGTAAGACATGAAAAACGACTTCGCTGTGAAACTTCTATACCAACGGGACAAACATAGATCGTAAAACATCATATTGAGAGTGTGTATCACAAGTTGAAAATTAAGGGACCTTACACATGCTTAGAAATTGGCATAAAAATCGCCAAACCGGAAAACCGAATCGAACCTTGATAAATTTATTATTAAAACAGTACAGTTCGATTCATGACAATTCCAATTCGATTTTCATGCCGGTTACGGTTCTAACCAAAATTATATATATATATATATATATATATATATATATATATATATGTATATATTCGAAATTTCTACTTCAACTACCAAACACATATTTCAACTACAAAATCAAGCAAATTTGAGTTCTTACCACTAGATCTACAAGATTTGTGATCGGAAGATAAAAAATGTACATATAATTATAAATTAGAAAATAGAAAGCCTCAAATCAAAACCAAAGTGTACATCTTAAACTAAAACAAAAATGTACATAATACAAAATATACTGGAAAAGAATGAAGAAAAATAAAGTAGGGAGAGATGAGTGATAAAACAACAAGGAGGGGGAGAGAACTGAAGAAAAATATTGGGCTTAATTATGCACATGACATTCTTAGAAAAATGTCTTATTTATATAAAAAATAATAATAAAACAATAATTTATATTAAAAATGGCTTGGTCCGGCTCGTAAAATTTTCAAACCGGAATCTATTTGCGATGGCTCGATTTTTGTTCCGATTTTGACTTTTTTGGTCAACTCAGTTTTGTTTGTTAGTTCTCATGCTAGTTTTAGACCTAGGATGCCGTTTGTTGGAATTTTGGTTGTTAGTTGTGATAACCTTTCTAGGTTTATTACGATCCACCACCAACATTACCGATATTATTTCTAACTTAACCACCTATCACTTGGTGTGAAGTTTTATCATAAATGTCTCAATGATAATATGGGTGAAATACCTCATATATAACAGTTGTATTGTATTTTATCATATACTCAAGGTGAGACTCTATTCTCTAACAAGTTGTCATGCCACTGCATATTGGTCTTATTTCAATGATTTAATGAGGTATCCATATAAATATAATTATTAATTTTTCAAGGAAGTAATTTTAGCACACTATTTTTCACTTCTTCCACACTCCTCATTTACGTTTTGCATTTGAATTGAATGACTTGAAGGAGAATTGAAGGGCAAAAGTAAACATAGATGTGCATAAAAAGAAAAACACATCAAAAGAATTCACAAGAGAAAAACAGATATTATCTACCAAATGAATGGTCAGTATAAGAAAGAAATGCAGACAAAATTTCTGAAAAAATAAAAATGAATGGTCTTCCTTCCTTCCTTGAATAGAAATGCAGACAAAATGAATGGTCTTCCTTGCTTCCTCCTCCTGAGAACTGGGTCCTCCAAGTTCAGTCTTGTCAAGTTTTGTGGTTTCTTCGGAGCTGTTTATCAGATTTGGGCTTGTATGGACTTACACTTGTGTACTTGTTAAAAAAAAATGGTTATGAAGAAATAATTGCCTGTTCAATAAAGAGTTGTCGGTGCAACTAAATTTTAAATTATTTACGATACTACCTCGTGCTTAAAGTTTAATTTATTTACAATATTCTCACTGCTTCTTTCTTTCTTTCTATCCGTATTATTTATAAAAGTTTATCAAGTGCTTTTCATTAAGAATTTGTTGTGTGTAGTCATTTTTAAAAGAACATTTTTTTTTTTTTTTTACTAGTGATATTTAGGATGGAGGAATCGAACTCGGACGCATAAGTAGTTGAGTAACAAATCTCATTTCTCATTAAAACACTCAACTAACTGAATCACAAATCTCTTTCCGCAGTTTCTTATGTTAGGTAAAATGTGCAGGCGGAGCAACTGTGGTTGCGGCGGAGGAGCCAAAGCAGCGGGAGGGACGAGGGCTTCTATGAAAGCGCCCGGAAGAGATTATACAATCTCTAGAGACAGCTTGCGCAGATAAAAATCTACTAATTCTCACTAATGGCTGAGACATTAGAACTTATAGATGATGAACAGAGAGCAGTATGGCCTTTGACACGGGTGACTGCAGATTTTATTACCCAATTCTTGTCTTTCTTTGTATTGCGCAGCGATTAGTCTAAACACATACCAAAGAGTTCGATAGCTAGGAAAAGTTGAAATGATAATTGACAGATACAATTTCATTAGTTGCACTGTGTAGTTAATCCAAGGGCATCAATTCCCCGGCAATGCCGGCCTTCACGGTTCAAAGTGAGTGTAGCATTACCTGAATTCCATGTTGTGGCCGCATTGTCAAATAATGAACAGGCAAGTGGATGTAACCTGGGGAAAGAGTGAAGGAGTAGCGTTGTAGAATCATTGACAGAGCAATCTTTGCTTCAATGGTTGCAAAGTTCAACCCAACACAGCTTCGAGGTCCCACTCCAAAGGGTATGAAAGCGCTTATGGTATTGTTAGTGGCTTTAGCAATCCCTTCTGCGAATCTCTCTGGTTTGAAAAGTTGCGAGTCTTCTCCCCAGATTCGAGGATCATGCTGAAATGCTAGATTTGAGAGAATCAATTCAACGTTAGGTGGGACAATGACATTCCCCAGTCTAACTTCCCTATCAACTTTCCTTACTAAAGAATCAAGAGGGGGATATAACCTTTGAGACTCGTAGAAAATCATACTCATCTGCATGAATAAAAAAGAAAAACAGATTTCCAAATTAGGATCTCTAATGTCAATTGAAAACATGTTTTCGCCACTTCGACAAATAATTTATTGCGTTTTTTTATTTTCTTACTGTTTTCAGTTTGGAAAAATCATCAGGATTTGGAGTTTGTTTGCCGAATACGTCCATCACCTCCTTTCTTGCTTCCTCTTGCCAATCCGTATGGAGTGCTAGAAGAAACACAGTCCAGGCAAGCAAAGTATTAGTGGTTTCTTGTCCTGCAAAGTAAAACGTCTTGCACTCATCAACCAACTCATCCACCGAAACCCTCTGGTTCTCATTTGCATCGTGATGAGCCTTCAAAAGTAATCCGAGAAAATCACTCCCGAAACTCTCCTTTTGTCCTGTCATTGCCTTCTTTTCTCGTTTCTTGACTATCTCTGTTATGGAGCCATGTACTTCTTTCTCAAGTTTGTCTGATTCGACCTCATCGTTGGTTTTGAAAAGTTTACTGATGCCAGGAACCCTGACTGTTAGAGAATTTTTAAACACTAGGAAGGCCAACTTGATCAACATCTCAAAGATGTTCTTGCCTTCTATGTAACTGCTGCCAAAAGCTGTTCTAGAAATCACTTCTGAAGTGAACAACCTAAACTCTTCAAACACCTCAATCTCTTTCCCTACATAATCTTCCCACCTTCCGAGCATTGTCTCAGCACTTGCTACCATTTCCGGAATCATACTCTACATAAACAATACCATGATGTTACTATTGCTAAACCACTCATTGCAAAAACAAGGTACCAATAACTGTACAAAACTTACTTTAAGTTTTCTCCATGGAAGGCATGGGTAGCCAGCTTCCGCAATTTTGCCCATTTTTCAGCTTCGGTTGTTGTGACAAGACCATCTCCTAATAGCTTCTTCAAAAATTTCGGGGTCTCTCTTTTCCCATAAGCCCTCTCTTTGTTATTAAGTATCTCTTTGCATAACTCAGGTTCTGTAATAACCAGCTGAGCTCTAGAACCATGCCATTGAAGATAATTCTTACCTATAAATGCATGCAAAAACAACCAAAAGTTATCTTGAAACTTAAAGCTAGAAAGTAAAAACAAATTGATATCAAACGGGTTCTAAGATGTACAAACCACATTTAACATGAGATTCCGGGTTACCGTATATCTGAGTCCAAGAGTGAATGTGTGGTTGAACTCGAGAAAATATGTCGTGCGATAAATTTTTGGGTCTGTTCATAATTTCCTTCATCATGTGAGAGACTTGTTTGGTGTTTCCGTGGATAAGTCTGTAAGGAGGGCCTCTGATGCCCTGCAGAGCCATCTGCTTCTGTATGCGAGTCGGAGTCCACCAAAGTCTTCGAAGGATCTTGATGAGAAGGAAGACGAGGAGCACACACAAAAAGCTTGAAAGAATGACTGCTAGGCCTCCCGAAGAAGGCATTTTCGCACTGCTTTTAACTTTGCCCATCTCCCTGAACCTACTGAGAGTTTTTTCAACAGTGCACAGTTGTAAAAGCTTTACTAGTTTACTTACTTTTCTTTACTGTTCACACAGCTAACAGTTACGCAAGGCATGCAGGTTTCTCACTTGCGCTTGCTTTTACATGTGAATCTATGCTGCTCGGCGCTGAGGTTGGCTGACGCGTGGGCTTGTGGTAGCGCCCTTACTGCCCGACTCGTGTTAATATCAAGAAAATTTAAAAGAATACTATTTGAACCTGTTTGCTCCCTAAATCCGTCATGGGTCTCGCGGGCAAGCCGGGGATTTACTTCACATACGAGATTGGTGGGGTGCGGGCGTGCCACTACTAGATGCTGCTAGTAAACGGGATTTGAATGATTGAGGTTGCGCCTTTTGACTTCAAATCAAGAGATTGTGTCATTTGAGTGGGAGTTGCTCAAATCAAGGTTCTTTCTTTGCCTTAAAAATAAGGACTTTACTTATATGGAGAGATAGAACAATATGTAAATGACAAGGTTGCTCGGAAATGTAAATGACAGAGGAAAGTGACTTAATATTGCAGATTGCTTGTAATTTAAATGACTGAAAATGAGTTGTACATGAAAACTATAAAAGAGATCGATACTACAAGTGAGCAGCAGAGCTAATAAACTAGACAAAAGATGGCTTTTGTGAGGGCTGATCCTGAAAAGGATGAAGGCTTAGGGGCTGACTACAACTTCGTGAAGGCAAATCTGGTTTGAGCAGAGTTTGTGCTTGTATTTGTTTGTTTGATTGAGTGTCCATAGTCCTTGTGTTTGGGCTCCTTTAAATAGAGATCTGGAGGAAACCCCCTGCTGAAGACACTGCATCTGCCCGAAAGAAACTAGGGCACTTTGTATTTCACTTGCCAACTTGCATGGAGAAATAATATTAAAGGGGGAACTTGCATTTCCACCACATGCTTTCATCACATGTCTTCCCACTTGTAATAAACTAACATTTAAAAGAAGCAAGTTGGCTTCTTTCACATGTTCTCTGCATCCACATCCGTATGTTGCCTTCCAACCCATTTACAAGCATGCAATTTGTTGATTAAACACAGGCTTGACAAACCTCCACCACCCAAACAAATGGGAGAAACAATATTATAGTGTCAAATCCCTCCACTTGATAGTTAAATATCTTCAAAGTTAGTCTTCTTGCTCATTAATCCTCCAAATGCCATATTTTACCCAAATTGCCCAAATAAGTAAAAATGGGTATATTTTGAGTGCAAACAGTGCCCCCAAGTTTTACAAATTTGAGCAAAGTTTGTGAAACTTACAACTCCAATAAGCTCCTCCAGAAGATTGATGATAGCAGGCATAAGAGACATTTGAGCATGAAGAACACTTGATCACAAATGGCAACTTTGTTTGCTATGACTTCCCAAAAGCCTTGGTGGCTATAGTGCTGCTAGAAAGGAAGAGGCACATCTACCTCTTCGGTCCTTCTGTCGTTGATAAACTTGGCAAGATGAGCAAGGCAATTGGTAGTACAACTAGCATTGGAAAGAATGTTGTCTGGCTTGTATTCCTTCTTGTTAATACCAAAAAACATGGGAGCAACCTTACTGGTTACATAGATAATAAACTAGACAAATGCCCGAAGTAGGGCAAACTGGAAAATATAGAAACAGATGGAGAAGAGAGAAACTTGGGCAACTATCCTTTTGATTCTTCTTTTTCTTTTTTGCCTCGTTTCATATATATATAATATATATATATATATATAGACCCTTCGGGTAGCTCAAAAGAAAGAAATAACAGCCCACGTCGGGCACACAGAACATATGCCCATTTGGGCAGACCACATAGTATAATATATAATAAAACATATATATATGTGAACTTTTTGGTAGACAAAAACTGAGGGAGAGACAGGAAAACTGAGGGAGAAACAGAAAGAAAGAGAAAGAGAAAGAAAAAAGAGAAAATAAAGAATGAGAGAGAAAGAAATAATAAAAAAGTAAAAAGAAAGAGAGAGAGAGAAGCACCTTTCGGGCAAAAAAACAAAAACAAAAGAGAGAGAAAGGTTTTTTTCGGGCAAATTGTGAAAAAGCAACCCTATTTTTTATCTTTTCTTCTTTTATTTACTTACATATTATATAATATAATATACTATATTATAAATATAGAAAAGAGAAAAAGAAAGGAAAAGAAAGGAAAGCTCACTTCGGGCAAAGAGGAACAACAAAAATGAGCCTTATTCGGGCATATTCGGGCATATTGGATGAAACCCCTTCATTGCCCAAATGTTATTTTTCTCTCAACACTCAAATCTTTTCCTCTTTTTAAAATTGAGTGTAGAGAGATCAAATCCATCATTTAAATTGGCCATGCTATGTAGCTTGGGAACCATAGGAGGTGGCCATTCATGTTTGATCCCGAGCTTTGCCCTCCTTGAGATCTCGATATGGATAACATGCTTGTGTTGGCGGGGAGGAGTGTATGAGCTTTTTTCTTCTTCTTCGGGCTCCACATGATGTATGGACTCGAGCCCCCCCAAGCGTTGGTGTTTGGCCTACAATGGCTTGATCTTCTACAACCATATCATTTTTCATGGATTTTTCGTTGGGTGGGGCCATTGTTTGGGCTTTATCAATATGTATGATTTGTTCTTCCTTAGTTGTAGTAGGGTGAGTGTGTTTTGTAGAGGGGATTTGACACATTTGATTTATCAACTTTCTCAAAGTTTCTCCAAAAGTTGTATAGCTTTCCTCCACCCTTTTAAAACACTTAGTCACCTCTTCACCGTACCCGATGCTTGCCACATGGAGTTTGGACACCTTCTCTAATTTGCCCATATCCTTTTTGTAGAGCTCTTCATCCGGATGATCATGAGTTGGCATCTCATATATTGGCTTTATGTACTCATTGAAAGCCTTTTGATACTCAAAGCCATTTGTTGGCCTATCATAGTATTCATGAATGCGATTGTCTTCAAAAGAATAATAATCTTCATCATAACCATAAGTTGGCCAATCTTCAAGATTATTATTTATTTGATGGCCATTAGTTGGTCGACAATCATGTTCCATGGGACTTGAGTACTCTTCAGCCATGTACCCAGCTCATAGGTTGGCTCTATGTGATAGCCATAGCTTGAGCGTTCTTCAACATCGTCATCCTCCTCATACTTCGAAAAAGCATGTTGAGAAAAATCATGAACATAAGGATTGTTCATGATCTAACTCCATATAAGGGTCTCACTAGGCATGCCAAAATATGTTTGCTCCCTAAATCCGCCATGGGCCTCGCAGGCAAGCCAAGGATTTACTTCACATACGGGATTGGTGGGGTGCGGGCGTGCCACTACTAGATGCCGCTAGTAGACGGGATTTGAATGATTGAGGTTGCGCCTTTTGACTTCAAATCAAGAGATTGTGCCATTTGAGTAGGAGTTGCTCAAATCAAGATTCTTTCTTTGCCTTAAAAATAAGGACTTTACTTATATGGAGAGATAGAACAATATGTAAATGACAGAGGAAAGTGACTTAATATTGCAGATTGCTTGTAATTTAAATGACTGAAAATGAGTTGTACATGAAAACTATAAAGGAGATCGATACTACAAGTGAGCAGCATAGCTAATAAACTAGACAAAAGATGACTTTTGTGAGGGCTGATCCTGCAAAAGATGAAGGCTTGGGGGCTAACTACAGCTTCATGAAGACAAATCTGGTTTGAGCAAAGTTTGTGCTTGTATTTGTTTGTTTGATTGAGTGTCCATAATCCTTGTGTTTGGGCTCCTTTAAATAGAGATCTGGAGGAAACCCCCTGCTGAAGACACTGCATCTGCTCGAAAGAAACTTGGGCACTTTGTATTTCACTTGCCAACTTGCATGGAGAAATAATATTAAAAGGGAAACTTGCATTTTCACCACATGCTTTCATCACATGTCTTCCCACTTGTAATAAACTAACATTTAAAAGAAGCAAGTTGGCTTCTTTCACATGTTCTCTGCATCCACATCCGTATGTTGCCTTCCAACCCATTTACAAGCATGCAATTTGTTGATTAAACAAAGGCTTGACAAACCTCCACCACCCAAACAAATGGGAGAAACAATATTATAGTGTCAAACCCCTCCACTTGATAGCTAAATATCTTCAAAGTTAGTCTTCTTGCTCATTAATCCTTCAAATACCATAGTTTACCCAAATTGCCCAAATAAGTAAAAATGGGTATATTTTGAGTGCAAACAGAACCCCAATTTGAACGTCGGACCTCCATTGCCATCGTCATAGCCGGTGGCGGCTCTCGACACGCCAGAGGCCAGCCCTTCCCCTCTCTCTCTCTCCATTAACTAGTCAACTATCACTAAAATTCCAACTACATATTTTTATTTAGAATTTTTTGATAAAAACCAAGTAAATAATTTTCTTGCACTTGAACTTAATGGAAAAAGAAAAGAAAAAAATGCAGATGGAAATTTTTGAAAAAAAGTGGGTTGGGATTGGATGGTCTTACTTTTACTGTTTTACAGACAGGAAACATTAACAGAGTTGCTTCATCTTTTGTTTCCAGTTTCCAGGCTCCCAGCTTTGATTTCAGACTTGTAATTTGCAAATCCTCCTGATGAGAAATGGTGTGGTTTCTTTTGAGCTGTTTATCAGATTCGGGCGTTTATGTATTTGCCCTTGGGCTCGTCATCAGTTTGGCTTAGCTACTTCCATGGCTCAATTTAATGGCTTTCTTGTTCCGTTGTGCAAACATGATGTGTATTATTGGAGAATTTTCGCTGTGTATAATACTCGTTTCTTACGTTTTCGTTCTTTTATACCATTACAAACGATGATAAGAGAGGGAAATCGAACTCAAGTGCTTTAATAAATGTTCTTAATCACACACGTTTTTCATCCATTTTTAGGCCTTCTTCAACTTACATATATTGCATTTTATTTCATGTGAGATATATTTAACACGTCACTTTGCGTGGGACCACAACATAGTAGGCCACATATGCAACTAATCTCATTTTTAACATTAAGCGCAGAAGCATAGTATTACATTAAACCCGATAAGTCATGTACGGC